ATGGTCAACTTGATTAATTTGCGGCAGCTAGACAAGCATTAATAATCCGGTTAAAGTGTGTGCCACACACACACTCACACACGGACATACGGATAAACGAACACAGACACGGACACACACACACACTCACACAAATGCAAACACACTTAAGCACCGCTTGTGGCAACACACCAGCAAATAAATATAACGAACGCAGCAGTAAACACAAACTTAGTATAAAAGTCAAAACAAAGCCACAAACTGTTGCCACTGCCACACTGCCACAAAGCGAGAGAGAGAGAGAGAAACCGGAGAGCGGCCACCGCCTCTTGCAACACTTAAATACCCTAAGAACCTTCAACAATTTAACGATTGGAATATTTGAAGAGCAGAAAAGAAATTCATTAAATTTAATTATAATTCTCTCTTTCAGTACAAAATAAAAAAAAATATCTCTGAAATCTGGAGAGCAGTAAGTATAAAAATTAAAATTTTGTATGCGGAAAGAAAGTAAATTCATTCTCGCAGATTCCAATGCCCATCATTACAGAATGTCGCCCTATCACCCCGTCGCATGCAGCCGCATACAAACACAACATACCCGTTGAACCGCAGTGCTTTCTATCTGGAATCGCAGGGCATCAGAAAGATGGAGACATCTTATGCGTTATCGCCTCCGCAGCGCCACAAAGTATGCAACATTCTGCCCCACTCGAGGTGGAAAAGGGAAATAAAATCAAAAGAAGACGGTCGGGCAGGGATGGGTCTGGGGTCTGGTCTGGCTATGAAAACGCAATTGGTTTCTGGTCTTCTACGTATCTCGAGCGCCATTTGCGTGGTGTCCGCGTGATGTACGAGCGATAAACGGCGGCAGCACCCACACCCATACCCACACACCACCGCCCACAGCTTGTCTATGACCAATCCACTGCTTGGGAAAATTTTGGCTGTGCAGAGCAGAGCAGATGAAGAAGCGGGGGGATAGAGGCAGAGCAGTGTGTGAGGTCAGGTTCATAAGTAAGTCAATAAGTCACTTGGTTAATGACAACGCCAGCAGCAGGCAGCAGGCAGAACAGCGCCCAAAAGCATCCACAAGCAATGACAGAGGGAAATTATCTCTTTTGCGCTCTCTCCCTCTCAGATGTCAGCAGCTCGCTCCCTGCTGGCTTAAAAACATGCTGCAGTACATTTGGGCTGCCGGCTGGCAACATGCTGCAGAGAAAAATGGGTCTGGGCAACATTGCTGCGCATTTCAAAACAAGAATTGAATTCCATTTCTATAACAGATTTTGAATAGTTTTACGCTACTATATGCCATTGAATGCTGAATAGAAGCGAAAAAGAGTGCGAATAGAAAATACTTTGATGCTACAGAAAATGTGCCGGGAAATCCGGTCTAGAAATCGCAGACAGTTACAGAATGGCTAAAAAATCCTTAGGATTCCAATCGGTAAATTTTATAAGGTTTCTGGACTAGCTGGAGTTTGTTATGGATTCCTTGCGTTGCAATTCTCAATGCTCCAGATAGCCCAGCCCAGAGGAATTGCAGAAGTTGAATTCCGATGTAGTCCATCCTTTGGCATAGACGCTACACTATATGCAGAGTAGAGAAATTGATTGGAAACCCAACAGTAACAAGGATAAAGCCTCAAAGTAAACGCCAGGGTACCAGAAGTTGTGTCTGCGAGCGAGCCTTTTGCATAATTGCCTTGTACCGAACGGCCGTATAGTCGAGGCACGCCCTGTTCAGCCTTGTGCAAAATATCAATCAGCTGTTGGTCTGGGCCATGGATCACTCCAAGTCCGAGAAAGAGGTAAGCGAGATGACCGAACGGCCTGCCCGTTCCGTGCGAGCCAAGCAATGGACTATGGCAATCAAAGTTGATGACCTGACTACACACAGATGGGGAAAATAACTATAAGAAAGTGAGGTATACGAGGTATATGAGACTCACGTGATGTCGGTGTCCAGGCGAAACTTATTGCAGGCTTTGGGCACTCCATCGGTACTCCATTCCCATGCACAGAAAAATGGGTCTGGTCATGTGTCGCTCGGCCATGCAGTTCACCACTGGGCTCTAAATTGGGGTGGTCATGATGGTTTTGCGATCGGTACGAATGCCTAGCAGAATCAGACACCTATGAAACCCTGTAAGATTTTGAAAGGTTTAACGACTTTCAGTAGAGGAAAGAGCCGATCGACAGCCAAGATATCAACCTGTATACAGAGCAGTGGCTTTCCACATCCATCCCTCCATCGGCTAAAATCTTCGATTGCCTCAATTGATCAGATTTTTCAGTTTCCAGTCTTCACGGGTTCCTCCGTGCTCGTGGGGTAAGTTTCGATACCGCGTTTGTAGCACAGATTTCCGTCCTGTCTCAGGAACTCAACGTTCAGTTCTTTCTCTTCATCGTTGTCATCCCCTGTCGTATCTGACAATTGATGCCCAATGATCTGGGCAAATTGGTGCCGTGCGTGTCGTTTAAGCAGCTAATGGTGTCCTCTTTGTTCAGGGTGAGCAATTAATCGGCCTGCTTCTGGTAACGATCGAACGTATATTTCCCAAAAATAATCTTATAAAGGTATATTTTCCACATGACCGAACAGGGCAGTGTACTTTTCTTTGGATCATCTGGCATTTGATGGAGTTGAAGGTCTCCCTACTCATTTCCTTTCCTTCCGGAACTCCTCGATGTCTGCATCCACATATGTATTCCGCCCCGAATATCTTCCGATTTCATTCCTTAAGGCTGCCTTAATACATATGTGTATGGGGAAGCCAGAGAAAATATGGCGGGGCGATACCTTACCTGCTGAGGAAGTTTAAAAGTATCAGGTCAGATCAGATGGTTGGCACGCTCGGCGAGTTTCAGTTGCTCGGACAAGTGGAGCAACACCAAACACCAAACGTACAAGTCGCACATGGCAGCCCTGCCAAACCAAACAAAAAGATGGGCATCAAAAAAGATTTATAGCTTACTTCTTTGGACCCTGATGCAGCAGCAGCGAGATAAAGTAGACGAGCATGTGGGCCTCGGGCTTCTCACATTTGTCATCCTGTCGGAACCAGAGCTCGTCTTGTCTTGTCCGTCTTGAGCAACATCTTGGGGCATGGCGATGGATTGGGCTTTCCCTCCTCATTCCAGAACAGCGTAAGGTCATGGATCGGCTTTGGGCAGAAAGAGCTCATCCATGGGTCTCGAATCGATCCACAGCTATCTCCAATTTTCTGGCATGGGTAAAGTGGCGTACTCGGTGCCGAACCACTCCTCCTGCTTGTCGAAGGGAATGCCTTCGAATGCTGATCTTCGTACAAGTGACTCAAAGGTAAGCAAGGACAGCACCTCGGGCAGACGGCTGCACATCTATCTGGGACATCTCCCGAAACACCGAGTCCAGAAAGTGGGCCAGGCCCTGATAGCTGCGGGGATTGGCGAATGCACTCTAGTCGACCATCAAAGCACTGGAGGCCTTCTTCTCATCGCCGCTCTCCGAGCTTAGCGACCTGGCTTCGCCTTGGCAGCTGGGATCAGGGGAGCTGCTGACTTAGACGATCAAAGCGTGCAGTCCATTGTCCAGCATAAATTAAATAAAAAGGTAGTTGAGTGCGACTCTGTTTTCTGTGTGTTTGATTTGTAAATTACACATACGCAAGCACGAGCTTCACGCAAACACAAAGATGGCAAAACAGCGGAAATATATATCGATACATCATAATATATTTCGAGGCGATAGTTGCTTGGCTGGTGAAAATATCTCATTGATATTCGTGTTTGATATTTGATATTTTCAACTGAACCTATGTGAATTTTACACCTTATTTAGGCATTATGGCATTACTTTCCAGGTCACACACCTTGCAAAATTTAATCGAGGAAATATCATTTCCAATCAGGGATAAATATATATACACACGAAAATTATGAAACTTGACGAACTGTAGCGCAGTTCAGGTAAATGGGAGGAATAGGATGGATCTACACGGAGAATTTCTATCACTCAGATCAACTAAATTTTAGCCGACAAGAAGTGCCATATATATTGCTCGGAGAAGAGTGTGACCAGATGTGCCTGCTATACGGTCACCCTGTGTTGTGCTTGTCTGCAAATATAATCTGTTATAAATTGAAATTTCGGATGAAAACATGCAGGAATGTATTATTTGAGAGCGATTTGGCGTTGGAGGAGGGTAGAAAAATGATGAGCGACATACTAACGGGAAGAAATGCAATCAGTTTTTTTTTATCTTTAGGGAATAATATTATAAAATTAAATTAAAAATTAATTAATTCTGATATCCATTTGAGCGGCTTCTATTCGACTTCGTTCCATTTAAGTTTCTACTTTCATCTTTCTAGCTGACTTATTTTATATCGCTACCATACGCGTACCATATCATCCCTGATTTTGGCGACAACAAATTTAGTTGATCTGAGTACTAGGCTAACTAACTAAATGGGCTAAATAATTAAACAGGACAGCTTCCGCATCAAACCCACTAATCATGTGAACGCACTAATCATGATTCATGACTTATGATATGACTTCATTCATGGTAGATGGCTTTTGCCTTATATCGATAGCGGACATATCGATTAGAATACACACTAAGTCGCGAAGAAAAAGAAATGGACAGAGCCAAAATAATAAAAAATCACGAACTTATCTCAATACTTCGGGTCTACGAGGAAATATTCCAACTATACGTTTTTTTGTTGCGAGTCACGAATTTTCGACAGGCTTCGACATGCGATAGGATCTGATCCGATAGTATTGACGATGTCGCGATAATAGGGGTTCATAGGCGTTCAAAAAATGAAAAAAATTATTGATGAAATCCTCCATTGAGCGCTTGTCCTGGTGAACGCGCCCAAGGCAATTCGTTAGTTTTGTGTTGGTATTTGTTGAATTGTTGGGCGCCATTTCAAGGTAGGGATGATTTCGAAAGCATCGATGTTTGAAAAAAAAATATCGATGACAGCGATGCTGCCATCCCTTGTTCTTTCCGCTGCTTCCTTCTTTACACTTTTCGCTTTGGCCGTACGGGGTTGTGTTTGACTTTAAAAGTGTACTCTTTGCTTAAAAGCACTGCAATAAATACAACCTGAAAGAACACACTAATATTGCGAGTTGCAACAGCTAATTATCAAGTGCTTTGGTTTTTTCTGGTGCCTGGAGCATATTTTTTGTGAGTATTTTGCCGAGCATTATTTCGTCTTTGTCCGCCATGTTTATTTTTCGTTCTCTTTCGTCTCCACAGCGTCCGCGTGGTACTTGTGCTGTGCTTTTTCTTACGAAAATGGCTGCTGAAATAACCGATGAGGCAGAGTTGAACAATCTGTGGCGCATTCGTAGGACTGTATTCGAAATGGGTCACGATCGCGGCTTTTTGGTAACTAAGGATGAGCTGGACCAGACGCTGCAGGAGTTCAAAGATCTTTTCGGCGATGCTCCCAGCGCGCAGAGGCCGATGCGATCCGACCTCAATATGCTGCTGACCCACGATGACGACGATACGAATAGAATGTTGGTGTTCTTCTTCGATGAGCCGAAGATCGGCGTTGCCACGGTTAATTCCTTTACCAACCGTATGCGGGATGAGAACATTCGTCACGCCATCATTGTGTCCCAGGCTGGCTTGACAACCGCGGCCAAGAGAGCGCTCCTAGCCTTGAAGAACAGTGACAATTTCGATGTGGAACAGTTTCTGGAGATTGAGCTGATGGTAAACATCACTCAACACGATCTGGTGCCGGAGCATGTGCTGCTGACGGATGCGGAGAAACAGGCTCTGTTCGCTAAATACAATCTGAAGCCGGAATTGATGATGATCCTACTGACCACCGATCCAGTGGCTCGTTACTACGGCTTTAAGCCTGGTCAAGTGGTGAAGATTATCCGTTTTTCGGAGACAGCCGGTAGATCCGCCTCCTACCGCGTGGTCCGCAAGCCCCAGTGACCGCCCCCAACCCCCATTGTGTTGATATTGTAATGTATTTCACGGACACCATGTTATAAGAAATAACTCGAAACAAATATATTCACTAATGGGCGTATGAAATGTACTTTAAAATTGAACCTAGCAGACCAGCAGGGGCTCACCGAAGCGCTTGCAGCATTTCTAGAACTACATCGCTGCACATCTGTGGCCTGGAACGCAGAAATAGGAGGATCTGTCTGTGGAACAAGCTAACAACCCTTTCCAATAGCAATGTTGTAGCGGCAGCTGCCAGCTCCATTCCCACAGCTCCAGCAGCCTGAAGCTCTCGCAGATGTGTATGTACTTGCCGCCTACTCAAGCAACCGATTGCCAATAGCTATACTGATCCCTTGCAATCTACACACAATTAGTCAATTATAAATATATTAGAAAAAGCAAACGAAAACTAGGGCTGCATGCAAGCAGTGTTGTTTTGCAACACTGGCCACACATTAGGGCGTCCCCGGTGTGAATATTAAATAAATGTGGCATGTTTGTTCGGTATTTGACTCTGGCTCGGTGTGCTGATACAATTGAAACGTTTATGGTACGCATCACGGATTTTCGACTACGATTTTCAATTGATTTTGACATGCTCAGAAACATTTTACATTGGAGAGTCTCGAACAGCTGCTTGAGCCCGGTTCCGTGTGAGCAAACTGATCCACTTTGTTCTCTGACAAGCCTGAAATCAAAGTAGGCAATGTGTTGTGCGTGAAGCTCGTAGTTTAGTTCAGTTAATACACGCGAGTTCAGAGCTGTTGATTTTTGTGAGAAATCCATTCGCACACGGTTTGTCCTGTAAATCATCATAATCTATTATTTTATAAATACTTTGGATACCATTTCGTGTAGGAAAGATGAACGAAAGACGCGAACGTTTCTACTTAATGGTGGAGTGCGACATCGAAAACGCACTCAATAGGTTTTTGGAGCTCCAACGGGAGCCGCGGACATTTCAACCGTTGTTAGTGGCCATTCCGGACCACGTGCAACCCTTACCAGTGCCCCTGGAGCCAGTGCAACTGGAGGACCGTCAGGAGGAGGCAGTGCGCCAAGAAGCACCAGAGCGGGAAAAGCAAAAGTGAAATGAAAATTAAAAAAAAAGAATGACAAAAAGAACGTAGCAGACACAAGAAAATATTGTTTGGTGTATTGTAATACACTGTAATACCACTATACCACGACAAATACAAGAATCCTTGTAGACATGGTAATTCTTTATGGTTCTGCGTTTTCGGGTTTCTCGTATCTTTAAAACTGTGCATACCGCAGATTTTCGTCCCTTTTTGTGAGGCGGAGCGAAGAAGTTCTGAAAGACACTTGTAACAGCGTCACATTACAGAATTCTGGATACAATAAGTGCGAGCAAAATGAGTACGAAATGGCGGCATTTCTGTTTCGTGCGCTTGCTAGAGGCAGGCAAACCAAAAGAACAGGCTCGTGATCGAGCAAAATAAAAGGCAGGCCTTTCTACCTGAGTTTTACCAAAAACTATACAATACCAAGGTGCTGCATGAGAGACCACAAAGCTGTTCTATGGCGTGGCTTACGGGTACGCCCCAGGGACAGAGGGAGCGCGCGGGGTTTCTCTTTTCGGCTATGCTTCGTCTCTGACTGCTAGCCCGCTGTCCGACAGCTTCGTCTGTTTGTAAGAAACGAGCCGAGCGAGCTCGAGGCAGCTCAGCAGATGCGCACAGTGGGTCCAGCTTGATATATTATAGAGTGAAAACGGGTTCAATATATTTTTGTACATGTCTGCTCATATCTCCTAAACTAAAATTATCTTGAAAACTAGATTCGCTAAAGCTCTGGAAATTTTCTACTAGATGTGTACATTTATTTTATTCAAAGCGTTCATAAAATCTTTTTTAATTTTGCCACCTCTTTTCGGCTGAGTCCCCAATGTACACACAATACAAACAAATAACTTTAAAACCAAACTAGACATATTCAGGTCCAAATCAACCCTCAACCGGGCCCTGGGCAACCATCAATCTGGGGCCCTCCATTTTTTCACGCCAGCTCCCTTCTTGTTTCATTTGAAATAAAAACTTAAACATTTTATGTTTGTTTGATTAATTTGTATGTTTATCAGTGGCTAATATATTTTTTATTCATTATTTGGAGTTTCGTTTTTTCCAAAAAATTTTTCTGTTAGCCCTAGGGGGGCCCTAGGCAACTGCTAGTCCGGCCCTGGACATATTCCCGTCGTCAGACTTCATATTTTGTTGGTGTATTCTGTCGCTCGACTCGACGCGGGCCGAGGCATTTACGAAGCCGAAAGCATAGGCAAAGGCTAGCCTAAGGGAGAATGGGAGAAATACCCCGCGCGGCCGTACCATTGAACGAGCATTTGCTCCTCGTGCAGCATCTTGCTATTGTTTAGTCTTTGGTATTACTGAATCATAAAAAAAACTTGCTGCTTTTATGCCGGGTTTTTTTCTGTCTCCCGAATCCCTAGAGAGGGTTGTAATCTTACCTGGATCCGGCTGTATATATAGTGGGAGACAGTGGCTCTGTGGTCAGTTGAAGTTGAAGAGCGGCCAGCAGTGCAGTACAGTGGATACCGGCGAACGCACCAGCATGGAAATTGACTACGAGGAACTTTTTCTGGACCTTGGACTATACACGGAAACTGAACTACGGAAATCCATCAGCTACGCGGAGCGACCCCATCGCCGACACGAGCTGAAGGTCGGAAAGATCACCAGATTCGGCTGCCTGCGGTATTTCCAGGAGCCATTTGTCCTCATACTGAGGGAACACGACTTCCATCCCATTCGAGTCTCGAGAGCCGACGAACTGAGGGAATGGAAGGCCCTGAACATCGCTGCCATGAGGATCAACGGGAGCCACTACCACACATTGTATGTACGTGTGGTGCCGCTGGCTCTCCAGCGGATTGGGCGCGACGAGATTAAGTACCACCTGAGGAGGGTGTTGAGGAAGATCGAAGGGGCCGGAATCCGCAAATACCTAATGGCCGTTGTCGCTGATGGGCATCGGGATGCATTGGCCGCAGCAGCTCAAAAGTATCCCGTTTTGTGGGAGATCCGGCATTTGACGACGAGAATGGCGGACCACTACTACCATTGGGACACGGAAGCTCTGCAGGATTTGTATAACCGCCGATATGTGCAAGATGATTGGGAAGGACGGTTCCCAATCATGGGTCTGCTGAATCCTCCGGCCAATGTGCGGAGAATCTACAGACGGGAGCTGGAGAATATCAGGGCAGTTGTGAGGCGCAAATTCCGACTGAATGGCAGACCCTTTCGATTGATGAGATTCAACAGCCGCCAATCGGAGTCCATTGGGATCTCGCTCAAGATTGAAGTCGCTCTGTTACTGAGGAATATCCATTCGATGCATCCGCACTTGTTTTCGCTGGAGAATGGAGAGCAGGCCATCCGCTTTTTCACCGAGGTGGTGGCCATTTTTATTAATTTGCTCGAATCATAGAGTTTTATTATTATTATTGTTTACATATTGCATAAAATAAATATACGTATATATATCTTTTATATTCTCTACCTACCTTGTAAAAGTTCTTTGGCCTTACAGGCAGCAAAAGGTACGAATATGAAAAGGTACGGTATGAGGTACGAGCCGCATTTTATTGACCCTAATTGACCCTTAAAACTGTTCCGGTTTTATCTGGCAGGAGGCAACCAGGTAATGACACTAGCTGAAAAACAAATACACCCAGTTCTCACTTAGCACGAGCTCAATCTCCTTCTTTGCGTTGCACACATCCACTTTTACCACAAACCTAATATACCCCTTAACTTATTTTGAGTACGGGTATAGAAAGTGATTAAAGTCAGAAAGTATAATTTAGATACCGAAACAGGACAATAACGGCAAACTAGAAACCATGGTAAGTATTCTGTTTTTGTATAGTGCTTGAATTGTTTCCTCCGCCATTCAACACTGTTTATTTGTCTCTACTTATACCCGTACTCAGTCAGTATATACATTTTTGATTTACATGATATTTTAGATATAATTTTGTAGAATTTTAAAATAAAAAAATGTTCCATTTTACATTTGCTTGCTACATCTGATATCTACATCTACAATGTATATTATACATCTAACATGTAGATTGTACATGTTCCATTTAGATTCTACATCTCCTCCGCTAGGGGTTGCTCGCGCACTGAACGCGGCAGAGTGTGCGAGCGAGAAAGAGATGGGTAGCGGGTCTCTGGCAGGAGGAACAGAACCTTGCGAGAGAAAATATGGCGGGGTGATATCTTACCTGCTGAGGAAGTTTAAAAGGATCAGGTCATCCGAGGGGTCAGGGTGGCGCCCACATTGACCATGCCTTAGGCGATACAGATGGTTTTCCTGGACATCGAAGTCCCATAAAAGTTTGACACGCTCGGCGAGTTTCAGTTGCTCGGACAAGTGGAGAAACACCAAACGTACAAGTCGCACATGCATCCACAAGCAATGACAGAGGGATATTATCTCTTTTGCGCTCTCTCTCTCTCAGAAATCGCAGACAGTTACAGAATGGCAAGAAAATCTCAAGGATTCCAATCGGTAAATCTTATCTTTTATATAGGGTTACTGGACTGACTGGAGTTTATTATGGATTCCTTGGATTGCAATTCTTAATGCTCCAGATAGCCCAGAGGAATTGCAGAAGTGGAATTCCGATGTAGTCCATCCTTTGGCATGGACACTACACTATATACAGAGCAGATAAGTTGATTAGTAACACAACAAAATATATATGAATGCGTTAACAATTGAAAGATAAAGCCTCAAGGTAAACGCCATCCGCCAGGGTGCCATCTGACCCGGAAGCGAGCCTTTTGCATAATTCCCGTGTACCGAACGGCCGTAAAGTTGAGGCACTCCCTGTTCAGCCTTGTGCAAAATATCAATCAGCTGTTGGGCTGGGCCATGGATCATTCCCAGCCCGAGACAGAGGTAAGCGAGATGTCCGAACGACCTGCCCGTTCCGTGCGAGCCAAGCTATGGACTATGGTTGATAGTTGATGACCTGACTACACACAGATGGGGAAAAATAGTATAAGAAAGTGAGGTATATACGAGGTATATGAGACTCACGTGAGTCTCCATCGGCATGGGGATGATGGTCCCATGCGCAAAAAAATGGGTCTGGTCATGTGTCGCTCGGCCATGCAGTTCACCCCTGGGCTCCAGATTGCGGCGATCATGATGGTTTTGCGATCGGTACGAATGCCCAGCAGAATCAGGTCCAGCATGTAGGCGTAGACACCTATGAGACAATGTAAGATTTTGAAAGGTTTAACGACTTTCAGTAGAGGAAAGAGCCGATCTACAGCCAAGATATCAACCTGTATACAGAGCAGTGGCTTCCACGTCCATCCCTTCATCGGCTAACTCAACGTTCAGTGTTTTCTCTTCGTCGTTGTCATCCCCTTTCTCTTCGTCTTCCGTATCTGATCCGCAGCTAATGGTGTCCTCTTTGTTCAGGGTGAGCATTTAATCGGGCTGCTTCTCAATAATAATCACAAAAAGGTATATTTTTCACATTATCAAACAGGACAGCGTACTTTTTTTTGGATCATCTGGTATTTTATGGAGTTGAAGGTCTCCCTACTCATTTCCTATCCTTTCCTTCTGGAACTCTTCGATGTCTTCATCCATATGTGTATTTGCCACCGTATTTCTTCCGATTTTATACCTTGCGAGAGAAAATATGGCGGGGCGATATCTTACCTGCTGAGGAAGTTTAAAAGGATCAGGTCATCCGAGGGGTCAGGGTGGCGCCCACATTGACCATGCCTTAGGCGATACAGATGGTTTTCCTTGACATCGAAGTCCCATAAAAGTTTGACACGCTCGGCGAGTTTCAGTTGCCCGGACAAGTGGAGCAACACCAAACACCAAACGTACAAGTCGCACATGGCAGCTCTGCCAAACCAAACAAAAAGATGGGCATCAAAACAGAGTTATAGCTTACTTCTTGGGACCCTGATGCAGCAGCGGCGAGATAAAGTAGACGAACATGTGGGCCTCGGGCTTCTCAAATTTGTCATCCTGTCGGAACTAGAGCTCGCAGTTGTCCGTCCTGAGCAACATCTTGGGGTATTGGGCTTTCCCTCCTCATTCCAGAATAGCGTAAGGTCATGGGTTGCTTTTGGGCATGAGTCTCGAATCGATCCACAGCTACTTCCAATTTGCTGGCATGGGTAAAGTAGCGTACTCGGTACCGAACCACTCATCCTGCTTGTCGAAGGAATGCCTTCGAATGCTGCTCTTCGTACAAGTGACTCAAGGATCCGCAGTTTGAGAAGACAGCTGGGACATCTGCCGAAACACCGAGTCCACGAGAAAGTGGGCCAGGCCCTGATAGCTGCGGGGATCGGCGAATGCACTTTAGTCGACCATCATAGCACAGGACTCCTTCTCACCGCCGTTCTCCGAGCTTAGCGCCCTGGTTTTGCCCTGGCTGCTGGGATCAGGGGAGCTGCTCACTAGACGATCAAAGCGTGCAGTCCATTGTCCAGCACGAATTATATAAAAATGCAGTTTGTCGTGTTTCGATGGCTTGTCCAGCCAATTTACTTACTTGTATATTTTACCGTCCTTCTCCGATTTACCGGAATCGTCCAGACGCGTTACTTGCTTCGCCATTCGAACAGGATTCAATTTGCAAGATTTATGCGACTCTGTTTTCTGTGTTTTGATTTGTAAATTACACATCCGCACACGCGAGCTTCACGCAACAACAAGATGGCAAAACAGCGGAAATATATATCGATACATCATAATATATTTTGAGGCGATAGTTGTTTGGCTGGTGAAAATATCTCATTGATATTTGATATTTTTCAACTGAGCCTATGGAACTTACACCTTATTTAGGCATTATGTTGTTCCCCCCTTTCCAGGTCACACACCTTGCAACATTGAATCGAGGAATTTCATTTCCGATCAGGGATAAATATATATACGCACGAAAATTATGAAACTTGACGAACTGCAGCGCAGTTCAGGTAAATGGGAGGGATGGGATGGATCTACAAGGAGAATCTCCATTACTCAGATCAACTAAATTTTATCTGACAAGAATTGAGCAGAGTGTGACCAGATGTGCATGCTACAAGGTCACCCTGAGTTGTGCTTGTCTGTAAATAGAATCGGTTATAAATTGAAATTTCGGATGAAAACATGCAGGAATGTTTTATTTGAGAGCGATGTGGCGTTGGAGGCGGGTAGAAAATGATGAGCGAAGAAAAATCCGCCAAGATTGGGTAAATCCATACCATCTTTAGGGAATAATATTATAAAGTAAAATTAAAAATTAATAAATTCTGATACCCATTTGATTTCGACTTCGTTCCATTTATCTTTCTACTTGCATTATTCCAGCTGACTTATTGGCGACAACAAATTTAGTTGATCTGAGTACTAGGCTATTTCGTTCACAGGCGTTCACCAGCATTCAATAAATGATGGATGAAATCCCTCATTGAGCGCTGGTAAAGTTGTCCTGGTGAACGCGCCCCAGACAATTCGTTAATTTGAGTGTGTTCATTTTTTGGGCGCCATTTCAAGGTAGGGATGATTGCGAAAGCATCGATGTTTGAGGAAAAAATATCGACGACAGCGATGCTGCCATCGCTTCTTCTTTTCGCTACTTCCTTCTTTTCACTTTTCGCTTTGGACGTACCGGGTTGTGTTTGACTTTAAAAGTGTACTCTTTGCTTAAAAGCACTGCAATAAATACAACCTGAAAGAACACACCAATATTGCAAGTTGCAACAGCTAATTATCAAGTGCTTTGGTTTTTTCTGGTGCCTGGAGTATATTTTTTGTAAGTATTTGCCATATTTTCGCTTTTGTCCGCCATGTTTATTTTTCGTTCTCTTTCGTCTCTTGCATTCTACCTTCGTCGTTTCCACAGCGTCCACGTGGTACTTGTGCTGTGCTTTTTCTAACGAAAATGGCTGCTGATTTAACCGATGAGGCAGTGTTGAACAAACTGTGGCGCATTCGTAGGACTGTATTCGAAATGGGCCACGATCGCGGCTTTTTGGTAACTAAGGATGAGCTGGACCAGACGCTGCAGGAGTTCAAAGATCTTTTCGGCGATGCTCCGAGCGCGCAGAGGCCGATGCGATCCGACCTCAATATGCTGCTGACCCACGATGACGACGATACGAATAGGATGTTGGTGTTCTTCTTCGATGAGCCGAAGATCGGCGTTGCCACGGTGAATTCCTTTACCAACCGTATGCGGGATGAGAACATTCGTCACGCCATCATTGTGTCCCAGGCTGGCTTGACAACCGCGGCCAAGAGAGCGCTCCTAGCCTTGAAGAACAGTGACAATTTCGATGTGGAACAGTTTCTGGAGATTGAGCTGATGGTAAACATCACTCAACACGATCTGGTGCCGGAGCATGTGCTGCTGACGGATGCGGAGAAACAGGCTCTGTTCGCTAAATACAATCTGAAGCCGGAATTGATGATGATCCTACTGACCACCGATCCAGTGGCTCGTTACTACGGCTTTAAGCCTGGTCAAGTGGTGAAGATTATCCGTTTGTCGGAGACAGCCGGTAGATCCGCCTCCTACCGCGTGGTCCGCAAGCCCCAGTGACCGCCCCCAACCCCATTGTGATGTTATTGTAATGTATTTCACGGACAACATGTTTTCAGAAATAAACTATAACTACATCTGTGATCTGGAACGCAGAAGTAGGAGAAATCTGTCTGTGTAACAAGCTAACAAACCCTTTCCAATAGCAATGTTGGAGCGGCAGCTGCCAGAACGTAGGGTCTCCCAGGGGCGTTCGTTCCCTGCTGCATTCCCACAGCTCCAGCAACCTGAAGCTCTCGCAGATGTGTATGTACTTGCCGCTTACTCAAGCAACCGATTGCCAATAGCTATACTGATCCTTCAATCTACACACAATTAGTCAATTATAAATATATTAGGAAAAACAAACGAAAACTAGGGCTGCATGCAAGCAGTGTTGTTTTGCAACACCGGCCACACATTTAGGCGTCTCCTGTGTGAATATCAAATGAATGTGGCATGTTTCTTCGGTATTTGACTCTGGTTCGGTGTACTGATACAATTGAAACGTTTCTGGTACGCATCACGGATCTTCGACTACGATTTTCAATTGATTTTTACATGCTCAGATACATTTTACTTTGGAGAGTCTCGAACAGCTGCTTGAACCCGGTTTCGTGTGAGCAAAGTGATCCACTTTGTTCTCTGATAAGCCTGAAATCAAAGTATGTTGTGTGTGAAGCTCGTAGTTGCTCATTCGTTTAGTTCAGTTAATACACGCGAGCTCAGAGCTGTTGATTTTTGTTAGAAATTCATTCGCACAAGGTTTGTCCTGTAAATCATCTCTAGCTATTATTTTATAAATACTTTGGACCATTTCGTGTAGAAAAGATGAACGAAAGACGCGAACGTTTCTACTTAATGGAGGAGTGCAACATCGAAAACGCACTCAATGGGTTTTGGGAAGTTCAACCGTTTTTAGCCCAAGAAGTGGCCATACCGGACCACGTGCAACCCTTACCAGTGCCCCTGGAGCCCCTGAAATTGGAGGACCGTCAGGACGAAGCAGTGCGCCAAGAAGCACCAGAGCGGGAAGAGCAAAAGTAGAATGAAAATTAAAAAAGAAATAATGACAAAAAGAACATAGCAGACACAAGAAAATATTGTTGGTGTATTGTAATACACTGTAATACCACGACAAATACAAGAATCCTTGTAGACCTGATCATTCTTTATGGTTCTGCGTTTTCGGGTTTCTCGTATCTTTAAAACTGTGCATACCGCAGATTTTCGTCCCTTTTTGTGAGGCGGAGCGAAGAAGTTCTGAAAGACACTTGTAACATTACAGAATTCTGGATGCAATAAGTGTGAGCAAAATGAGTACGTAATGGCGGCATTTCTGTGCGTTGCTAGAGGCAGGCAAACCAAAGGAACAGCCTCGTGATCGAGCAAAATGAAAGGCAGGTCAACAGTCAATTGACCTTTCGACCTGAGTATTACCAAAGACTATACAATATTGTATAGTATTTGGTAATACTCAGTCTTTGGTATTACTGAATCATAAAAAAACTTGCAGCTTTTATGCCGGATTTTTTTCTCTCTCCCGAATCCCTAGAGAGGGTTGTAATCTTACCTGGATCCGGCTGTATATATAGTGGGAGACAGTGGCTCTGTGGTCAGTTGAAGTTGAAGAGCGGCCAGCAGTGCAGTACAGTGGATACCGGCGAACGCACCAGCATGGAAATTGACTACGAGGAATTTTTTCTGGACCTTGGACTATACACTGAAACTGAACTACGGAAATCCATCAGCTACGCGGAGCGACCCCATCGCCGACACGAGCTGAAGGTCGGAAAGATCACCAGATTCGGCTACCTGTGGTATTTCCAGGAGCCATTTATCCTCATACTGAAGGAACACGACTTCCATCCCATTCGAGTCTCGAGAGCCGACGAACTGAGGGAATGGAAGGCCCTGAACATCGCTGCCATGAGGATCAACGGGAGCCACTACCACACATTGTACGTACGTGTGGTGCCGCTGGCTCTCCAGCAGATTGGGCGCGACGAGATTAAGTACCACCTGAAGAGGGTGTTGAGGAAGATCGAAGGGGCCGGAATGCGCAAATACCTAATGGCCGTTGTCACTGATGGGCATCGGGATGCATTGGCCGCAGCAGCTCAAAAGTATCCCGTTTTGTGGGTGATCCGGCATTTGACGACGAGAATGGCGGACCACTACTACCATTGGGACACGGAAGCTCTGCAGGATCTGTATAACCGCCGATATGTGCAAGATGATTGGGAAGGACGGTTCCCAAGCATGGGTCTGCTGAATCCTCCGGCCAATGTGCGGAGAATCTACAGACGGGAGCTGGAGAATATCAGGGCAGTTGTGAGGCGCAAATTCCGACTGAATGGCAGACCCTTTCGATTGATGAGATTCAACAGCCGCCAATCGGAGTCCATTGGGATCTCGCTCAAGATTGAAGTCGCTCTGTTACTGAGGAATATCCATTCGATGCATCCGCACTTGTTTTCGCTGGAGAATGGAGAGCAGGCCATCCGCTTTTTCACTGAGGTGGTGGCCATTTTTATTAATTTGCTCGAATCATAGAGTTTTATTATTATTATTGTTTACATATTGCATTAAATAAATATACATATATATATCTTTTATTCTCTACCTACCTTGTAAAAGTTCTTTGGCCTTACAGGCAGCATTTAGATACCGAAACAGGACAATAACGGCAAACTAGAAACCATGGTAAGTATTCTGTTTTTGTATAGTGCTTGAATTATTTCCTCCGCCATTCAACACTGTTTATTTGTCTCTACTTATACCCGTACTCAGTCAGTATATACATTTTTGATTTACATGATATTTTAGATATAATTTTGTAGAATTTTAAAATAAAAAAAATGTTCCATTTTACATTTGCTTGCTACATCTGATATCTACATCTACAATGTATATTATACATCTAACATGTAGATTGTACATGTTCCATTTAGATTCTACATCTCCTCCGCTCAGGGTTGCTCGCGCACTGAACGCGGCAGAGTGTGCGAGCGAGAAAGAGATGGGTAGCGGGTCTCTGGCAGGAGGAACAGAACCTTGCGAGAGAAAATATGGCGGGGTGATATCTTACCTGCTGAGGAAGTTTAAAAGGATCAGGTCATCCGAGGGGTCAGGGTGGCGCCCACATTGACCATGCCTTAGGCGATACAGATGGTTTTCCTGGACATCGAAGTCCCATAAAAGTTTGACACGCTCGGCGAGTTTCAGTTGCTCGGACAAGTGGAGAAACACCAAACGTACAAGTCGCACATGCATCCACAAGCAATGACAGAGGGATATTATCTCTTTTGCGCTCTCTCTCTCTCAGAAATCGCAGACAGTTACAGAATGGCAAGAAAATCTCAAGGATTCCAATCGGTAAATCTTATCTTTTATATAGGGTTACTGGACTGACTGGAGTTTATTATGGATTCCTTGGATTGCAATTCTTAATGCTCCAGATAGCCCAGAGGAATTGCAGAAGTGGAATTCCGATGTAGTCCATCCTTTGGCATGGACACTACACTATATACAGAGCAGATAAGTTGATTAGTAACACAACAAAATATATATGAATGCGTTAACAATTGAAAGATAAAGCCTCAAGGTAAACGCCATCCGCCAGGGTGCCATCTGACCCGGAAGCGAGCCTTTTGCATAATTTCCGTGTACCGAACGGCCGTAAAGTTGAGGCACTCCCTGTTCAGCCTTGTGCAAAATATCAATCAGCTGTTGGGCTGGGCCATGGATCATTCCCAGCCCGAGACAGAGGTAAGCGAGATGTCCGAACGACCTGCCCGTTCCGTGCGAGCCAAGCTATGGACTATGGTTGATAGTTGATGACCTGACTACACACAGATGGGGAAAAATAGTATAAGAAAGTGAGGTATATACGAGGTATATGAGACTCACGTGAGTCTTCATCGGCATGGGGATGATGGTCCCATGCGCAAAAAAATGGGTCTGGTCATGTGTCGCTCGGCCATGCAGTTCACCCCTGGGCTCCAGATTGCGGCGATCATGATGGTTTTGCGATCGGTACGAATGCCCAGCAGAATCAGGTCCAGCATGTAGGCGTAGACACCTATGAGACAATGTAAGATTTTGAAAGGTTTAACGACTTTCAGTAGAGGAAAGAGCCGATCTACAGCCAAGATATCAACCTGTATACAGAGCAGTGGCTTCCACGTCCATCCCTTCATCGGCTAACTCAACGTTCAGTGTTTTCTCTTCGTCGTTGTCATCCCCTTTCTCTTCGTCTTCCGTATCTGATCCGCAGCTAATGGTGTCCTCTTTGTTCAGGGTGAGCATTTAATCGGGCTGCTTCTCAATAATAATCACAAAAAGGTATATTTTTCACATTATCAAACAGGACAGCGTACTTTTTTTTGGATCATCTGGTATTTTATGGAGTTGAAGGTCTCCCTACTCATTTCCTATCCTTTCCTTCTGGAACTCTTCGATGTCTTCATCCATATGTGTATTTGCCACCGTATTTCTTCCGATTTTATACCTTGCGAGAGAAAATATGGCGGGGCGATATCTTACCTGCTGAGGAAGTTTAAAAGGATCAGGTCATCCGAGGGGTCAGGGTGGCGCCCACATTGACCATGCCTTAGGCGATACAGATGGTTTTCCTTGACATCGAAGTCCCATAAAAGTTTGACACGCTCGGCGAGTTTCAGTTGCCCGGACAAGTGGAGCAACGCCAAACACCAAACGTACAAGTCGCACATGGCAGCTCTGCCAAACCAAACAAAAAGATGGGCATCAAAACAGAGTTATAGCTTACTTCTTGGGACCCTGATGCAGCAGCGGCGAGATAAAGTAGACGAACATGTGGGCCTCGGGCTTCTCAAATTTGTCATCCTGTCGGAACTAGAGCTCGCAGTTGTCCGTCCTGAGCAACATCTTGGGGTATTGGGCTTTCCCTCCTCATTCCAGAATAGCGTAAGGTCATGGGTTGCTTTTGGGCATGAGTCTCGAATCGATCCACAGCTACTTCCAATTTGCTGGCATGGGTAAAGTAGCGTACTCGGTACCGACCACTCATCCTGCTTGTCGAAGGAATGCCTTCGAATGCTGCTCTTCGTACAAGTGACTCAAGGATCCGCAGTTTGAGAAGACAGCTGGGACATCTGCCGAAACACCGAGTCCACGAGAAAGTGGGCCAGGCCCTGATAGCTGCGGGGATCGGCGAATGCACTTTAGTCGACCATCATAGCACAGGACTCCTTCTCACCGCCGTTCTCCGAGCTTAGCGCCCTGGTTTTGCCCTGGCTGCTGGGATCAGGGGAGCTGCTCACTAGACGATCAAAGCGTGCAGTCCATTGTCCAGCACGAATTATATAAAAATGCAGTTTGTCGTGTTTCGATGGCTTGTCCAGCCAATTTACTTACTTGTATATTTTACCGTCCTTCTCCGATTTACCGGAATCGTCCAGACGCGTTACTTGCTTCGCCATTCGAACAGGATTCAATTTGCAAGATTTATGCGACTCTGTTTTCTGTGTTTTGATTTGTAAATTACACATCCGCACACGCGAGCTTCACGCAACAACAAGATGGCAAAACAGCGGAAATATATATCGATACATCATAATATATTTTGAGGCGATAGTTGTTTGGCTGGTGAAAATATCTCATTGATATTTGATATTTTTCAACTGAGCCTATGGAACTTACACCTTATTTAGGCATTATGTTGTTCCCCCCTTTCCAGGTCACACACCTTGCAACATTGAATGGGGAATTTCATTTCCGATCAGGGATAAATATATATACGCACGAAAATTATGAAACTTGACGAACTGCAGCGCAGTTCAGGTAAATGGGAGGGATGGGATGGATCTACAAGGAGAATCTCCATTACTCAGATCAACTAAATTTTATCTGACAAGAATTGAGCAGAGTGTGACCAGATGTGCATGCTACAAGGTCACCCTGAGTTGTGCTTGTCTGTAAATAGAATCGGTTATAAATTGAAATTTCGGATGAAAACATGCAGGAATGTTTTATTTGAGAGCGATGTGGCGTTGGAGGCGGGTAGAAAATGATGAGCGAAGAAAAATCCGCCAAGATTGGGTAAATCCATACCATCTTTAGGGAATAATATTATAAAGTAAAATTAAAAATTAATAAATTCTGATACCCATTTGATTTCGACTTCGTTCCATTTATCTTTCTACTTGCATTATTCCAGCTGACTTATTGGCGACAACAAATTTAGTTGATCTGAGTACTCAGGCTATTTCGTTCACAGGCGTTCACCAGCATTCAATAAATGATGGATGAAATCCCTCATTGAGCGCTGGTAAAGTTGTCCTGGTGAACGCGCCCCAGACAATTCGTTAATTTGAGTGTGTTCATTTTTTGGGCGCCATTTCAAGGTAGGGATGATTGCGAAAGCATCGATGTTTGAGGAAAAAATATCGACGACAGCGATGCTGCCATCGCTTCTTCTTTTCGCTACTTCCTTCTTTTCACTTTTCGCTTTGGACGTACCGGGTTGTGTTTGACTTTAAAAGTGTACTCTTTGCTTAAAAGCACTGCAATAAATACAACCTGAAAGAACACACCAATATTGCAAGTTGCAACAGCTAATTATCAAGTGCTTTGGTTTTTTCTGGTGCCTGGAGCATATTTTTTGTAAGTATTTGCCATATTTTCGCTTTTGTCCGCCATGTTTATTTTTCGTTCTCTTTCGTCTCTTGCATTCTACCTTCGTCGTTTCCACAGCGTCCACGTGGTACTTGTGCTGTGCTTTTTCTAACGAAAATGGCTGCTGATTTAACCGATGAGGCAGTGTTGAACAAACTGTGGCGCATTCGTAGGACTGTATTCGAAATGGGCCACGATCGCGGCTTTTTGGTAACTAAGGATGAGCTGGACCAGACGCTGCAGGAGTTCAAAGTCTTTTCGGCGATGCTCCGAGCGCGCAGAGGCCGATGCGATCCGACCTCAATATGCTGCTGACCCACGATGACGACGATACGAATAGGATGTTGGTGTTCTTCTTCGATGAGCCGAAGATCGGTGTTGCCACGGTGAATTCCTTTACCAACCGTATGCGGGATGAGAACATTCGTCACGCCATCATTGTGTCCCAGGCTGGCTTGACAACCGCGGCCAAGAGAGCGCTCCTAGCCTTGAAGAACAGTGACAATTTCGATGTGGAACAGTTTCTGGAGATTGAGCTGATGGTAAACATCACTCAACACGATCTGGTGCCGGAGCATGTGCTGCTGACGGATGCGGAGAAACAGGCTCTGTTCGCTAAATACAATCTGAAGCCGGAATTGATGATGATCCTACTGACCACCGATCCAGTGGCTCGTTACTACGGCTTTAAGCCTGGTCAAGTGGTGAAGATTATCCGTTTGTCGGAGAAAGCCGGTAGATCCGCCTCCTACCGCGTGGTCCGCAAGCCCCAGTGACCGCCCCCAACCCCATTGTGATGTTATTGTAATGTATTTCACGGACAACATGTTTTCAGAAATAAACTATAACTACATCTGTGATCTGGAACGCAGAAGTAGGAGAAATCTGTCTGTGTAACAAGCTAACAAACCCTTTCCAATAGCAATGTTGGAGCGGCAGCTGCCAGAACGTAGGGTCTCCCAGGGGCGTTCGTTCCCTGCTGCATTCCCACAGCTCCAGCAACCTGAAGCTCTCGCAGATGTGTATGTACTTGCCGCTTACTCAAGCAACCGATTGCCAATAGCTATACTGATCCTTCAATCTACACACAATTAGTCAATTATAAATATATTAGGAAAAACAAACGAAAACTAGGGCTGCATGCAAGCAGTGTTGTTTTGCAACACCGGCCACACATTTCGGTTTCGTGTGAGCAAAGTGATCCACTTTGTTCTCTGATAAGCCTGAAATCAAAGTTTTTTTTAGTTTTAGTTCAGTTAATACACGCGAGCTCAGAGCTGTTGATTTTTGTTAGAAATTCATTCACACAAGGTTTGTCCTGTAAATCATCTCTAGTTATTATTTTATAAATACTTTGGACCATTTCGTGTAGAAAAGATGAACGAAAGACGCGAACGTTTCTACTTAATGGAGGAGTGCAACATCGAAAACGCACTCAATGGGTTTTGGGAAGTTCAACCGTTGTTAGCCCAAGAAGTGGCCATGCCGGACCACGTGCAACCCTTACCAGTGCCCCTGGAGCCCCTGAAATTGGAGGACCGTCAGGACGAAGCAGTGCGCCAAGAAGCACCAGAGCGGGAAGAGCAAAAGTAGAATGAAAATTAAAAAAGAAATAATGACAAAAAGAACATAGCAGACACAAGAAAATATTGTTGGTGTATTGTAATACACTGTAATACCACGACAAATACAAGAATCCTTGTAGACCTGATCATTCTTTATGGTTCTGCGTTTTCGGGTTTCTCGTATCTTTAAAACTGTGCATACCGCAGATTTTCGTCCCTTTTTGTGAGGCGGAGCGAAGAAGTTCTGAAAGACACTTGTAACATTACAGAATTCTGGATGCAATAAGTGTGAGCAAAATGAGTACGTAATGGCGGCATTTCTGTGCGTTGCTAGAGGCAGGCAAACCAAAGGAACAGCCTCGTGATCGAGCAAAATAAAAGGCAGGTCAACAGTCAATTGACCTTTCGACCTGAGTATTACCAAAGAATATACAATATTGTATAGTATTTGGTAATACTCAGTCTTTGGTATTACTGAATCATAAAAAAACTTGCAGCTTTTATGCCGGATTTTTTTTCTCTCCCGAATCCCTAGAGAGGGTTGTAATCTTACCTGGATCCGGCTGTATATATAGTGGGAGACAGTGGCTCTGTGGTCAGTTGAAGTTGAAGAGCGGCCAGCAGTGCAGTACAGTGGATACCGGCGAACGCACCAGCATGGAAATTGACTACGAGGAACTTTTTCTGGACCTTGGACTATACACTGAAACTGAACTACGGAAATCCATCAGCTACGCGGAGCGACCCCATCGCCGACACGAGCTGAAGGTCGGAAAGATCACCAGATTCGGCTACCTGTGGTATTTCCAGGAGCCATTTATCCTCATACTGAAGGAACACGACTTCCATCCCATTCGAGTCTCGAGAGCCGACGAACTGAGGGAATGGAAGGCCCTGAACATCGCTGCCATGAGGATCAACGGGAGCCACTACCACACATTGTACGTACGTGTGGTGCCGCTGGCTCTCCAGCAGATTGGGCGCGACGAGATTAAGTACCACCTGAAGAGGGTGTTGAGGAAGATCGAAGGGGCCGGAATGCGCAAATACCTAATGGCCGTTGTCACTGATGGGCATCGGGATGCATTGGCCGCAGCAGCTTAAAAGTATCCCGTTTTGTGGGTGATCCGGCATTTGACGACGAGAATGGCGGACCACTACTACCATTGGGAAGCTCTGCAGGATCTGTATAACCGCCGATATGTGCAAGATGATTGGGAAGGACGGTTCCCAAGCATGGGTCTGCTGAATCCTCCGGCCAATGCGGAGAATCTACAGACGGGAGCTGGAGAATATCAGGGCAGTTGTGAGGCGCAAATTCCGACTGAATGGCAGACCCTTTCGATTGATGAGATTCAACAGCCGCCAATCGGAGTCCATTGGGATCTCGCTCAAGATTGAAGTCGCTCTGTTACTGAGGAATATCCATTCGATGCATCCGCACTTGTTTTCGCTGGAGAATGGAGAGCAGGCCATCCGCTTTTTCACTGAGGTGGTGGCCATTTTTATTAATTTGCTCGAATCATAGAGTTTTATTATTATTATTGTTTACATATTGCATTAAATAAATATACATATATATATCTTTTATTCTCTACCTACCTTGTAAAAGTTCTTTGGCCTTACAGGCAGCAAAAGGTACGAATATGAAAAGGTACGGTATGAGGTACGAGCCGCATTTTATTGACCCTAATTGACCCTTAAAACTGTTCCGGTTTTATCTGGCAGGAGGCAACCAGGTAATGACACTAGCTGAAAAACAAATACACCCAGTTCTCACTTAGCACGAGCTCAATCTCCTTCTTTGCGTTGCACACATCCACTTTTACCACAAACCTAATATACCCCTTAACTTATTTTGAGTACGGGTATAGAAAGTGATTAAAGTCAGAAAGTATAATTTAGATACCGAAACAGGACAATAACGGCAAACTAGAAACCATGGTAAGTATTCTGTTTTTGTATAGTGCTTGAATTGTTTCCTCCGCCATTCAACACTGTTTATTTGTCTCTACTTATACCCGTACTCAGTCAGTATATACATTTTTGATTTACATGATATTTTAGATATAATTTTGTAGAATTTTAAAATAAAAAAATGTTCCATTTTACATTTGCTTGCTACATCTGATATCTACATCTACAATGTATATTATACATCTAACATGTAGATTGTACATGTTCCATTTAGATTCTACATCTCCTCCGCTAGGGGTTGCTCGCGCACTGAACGCGGCAGAGTGTGCGAGCGAGAAAGAGATGGGTAGCGGGTCTCTGGCAGGAGGAACAGAACCTTGCGAGAGAAAAATATGGCGGGGTGATATCTTACCTGCTGAGGAAGTTTAAAAGGATCAGGTCATCCGAGGGGTCAGGGTGGCGCCCACATTGACCATGCCTTAGGCGATACAGATGGTTTTCCTGGACATCGAAGTCCCATAAAAGTTTGACACGCTCGGCGAGTTTCAGTTGCTCGGACAAGTGGAGAAACACCAAACGTACAAGTCGCACATGCATCCACAAGCAATGACAGAGGGATATTATCTCTTTTGCGCTCTCTCTCTCTCTCAGAAATCGCAGACAGTTACAGAATGGCAAGAAAATCTCAAGGATTCCAATCGGTAAATCTTATCTTTTATATAGGGTTACTGGACTGACTGGAGTTTATTATGGATTCCTTGGATTGCAATTCTTAATGCTCCAGATAGCCCAGAGGAATTGCAGAAGTGGAATTCCGATGTAGTCCATCCTTTGGCATGGACACTACACTATATACAGAGCAGATAAGTTGATTAGTAACACAACAAAATATATATGAATGCGTTAACAATTGAAAGATAAAGCCTCAAGGTAAACGCCATCCGCCAGGGTGCCATCTGACCCGGAAGCGAGCCTTTTGCATAATTCCCGTGTACCGAACGGCCGTAAAGTTGAGGCACTCCCTGTTCAGCCTTGTGCAAAATATCAATCAGCTGTTGGGCTGGGCCATGGATCATTCCCAGCCCGAGACAGAGGTAAGCGAGATGTCCGAACGACCTGCCCGTTCCGTGCGAGCCAAGCTATGGACTATGGTTGATAGTTGATGACCTGACTACACACAGATGGGGAAAAATAGTATAAGAAAGTGAGGTATATACGAGGTATATGAGACTCACGTGAGTCTCCATCGGCATGGGGATGATGGTCCCATGCGCAAAAAAATGGGTCTGGTCATGTGTCGCTCGGCCATGCAGTTCACCCCTGGGCTCCAGATTGCGGCGATCATGATGGTTTTGCGATCGGTACGAATGCCCAGCAGAATCAGGTCCAGCATGTAGGCGTAGACACCTATGAGACAATGTAAGATTTTGAAAGGTTTAACGACTTTCAGTAGAGGAAAGAGCCGATCTACAGCCAAGATATCAACCTGTATACAGAGCAGTGGCTTCCACGTCCATCCCTTCATCGGCTAACTCAACGTTCAGTGTTTTCTCTTCGTCGTTGTCATCCCCTTTCTCTTCGTCTTCCGTATCTGATCCGCAGCTAATGGTGTCCTCTTTGTTCAGGGTGAGCATTTAATCGGGCTGCTTCTCAATAATAATCACAAAAAGGTATATTTTTCACATTATCAAACAGGACAGCGTACTTTTTTTTGGATCATCTGGTATTTTATGGAGTTGAAGGTCTCCCTACTCATTTCCTATCCTTTCCTTCTGGAACTCTTCGATGTCTTCATCCATATGTGTATTTGCCACCGTATTTCTTCCGATTTTATACCTTGCGAGAGAAAAATATGGCGGGGCGATATCTTACCTGCTGAGGAAGTTTAAAAGGATCAGGTCATCCGAGGGGTCAGGGTGGCGCCCACATTGACCATGCCTTAGGCGATACAGATGGTTTTCCTTGACATCGAAGTCCCATAAAAGTTTGACACGCTCGGCGAGTTTCAGTTGCCCGGACAAGTGGAGCAACGCCAAACACCAAACGTACAAGTCGCACATGGCAGCTCTGCCAAACCAAACAAAAAGATGGGCATCAAAACAGAGTTATAGCTTACTTCTTGGGACCCTGATGCAGCAGCGGCGAGATAAAGTAGACGAACATGTGGGCCTCGGGCTTCTCAAATTTGTCATCCTGTCGGAACTAGAGCTCGCAGTTGTCCGTCCTGAGCAACATCTTGGGGTATTGGGCTTTCCCTCCTCATTCCAGAATAGCGTAAGGTCATGGGTTGCTTTTGGGCATGAGTCTCGAATCGATCCACAGCTACTTCCAATTTGCTGGCATGGGTAAAGTAGCGTACTCGGTACCGAACCACTCATCCTGCTTGTCGAAGGAATGCCTTCGAATGCTGCTCTTCGTACAAGTGACTCAAGGATCCGCAGTTTGAGAAGACAGCTGGGACATCTGCCGAAACACCGAGTCCACGAGAAAGTGGGCCAGGCCCTGATAGCTGCGGGGATCGGCGAATGCACTTTAGTCGACCATCATAGCACAGGACTCCTTCTCACCGCCGTTCTCCGAGCTTAGCGCCCTGGTTTTGCCCTGGCTGCTGGGATCAGGGGAGCTGCTCACTAGACGATCAAAGCGTGCAGTCCATTGTCCAGCACGAATTATATAAAAATGCAGTTTGTCGTGTTTCGATGGCTTGTCCAGCCAATTTACTTACTTGTATATTTTACCGTCCTTCTCCGACTTTACCGGAATCGTCCAGACGCGTTACTTGCTTCGCCATTCGAACAGGATTCAATTTGCAAGATTTATGCGACTCTGTTTTCTGTGTTTTGATTTGTAAATTACACATCCGCACACGCGAGCTTCACGCAACAACAAGATGGCAAAACAGCGGAAATATATATCGATACATCATAATATATTTTGAGGCGATAGTTGTTTGGCTGGTGAAAATATCTCATTGATATTTGATATTTTTCAACTGAGCCTATGGAACTTACACCTTATTTAGGCATTATGTTGTTCCCCCCTTTCCAGGTCACACCTTGCAACATTGAATCGAGGAATTTCATTTCCGATCAGGGATAAATATATATACGCACGAAAATTATGAAACTTGACGAACTGCAGCGCAGTTCAGGTAAATGGGAGGGATGGGATGGATCTACAAGGAGAATCTCCATTACTCAGATCAACTAAATTTTATCTGACAAGAATTGAGCAGAGTGTGACCAGATGTGCATGCTACAAGGTCACCCTGAGTTGTGCTTGTCTGTAAATAGAATCGGTTATAAATTGAAATTTCGGATGAAAACATGCAGGAATGTTTTATTTGAGAGCGATGTGGCGTTGGAGGCGGGTAGAAAATGATGAGCGAAGAAAAATCCGCCAAGATTGGGTAAATCCATACCATCTTTAGGGAATAATATTATAAAGTAAAATTAAAAATTAATAAATTCTGATACCCATTTGATTTCGACTTCGTTCCATTTATCTTTCTACTTGCATTATTCCAGCTGACTTATTGGCGACAACAAATTTAGTTGATCTGAGTACTAGGCTATTTCGTTCACAGGCGTTCACCAGCATTCAATAAATGATGGATGAAATCCCTCATTGAGCGCTGGTAAAGTTGTCCTGGTGAACGCGCCCCAGACAATTCGTTAATTTGAGTGTGTTCATTTTTTGGGCGCCATTTCAAGGTAGGGATGATTGCGAAAGCATCGATGTTTGAGGAAAAAATATCGACGACAGCGATGCTGCCATCGCTTCTTCTTTTCGCTACTTCCTTCTTTTCACTTTTCGCTTTGGACGTACCGGGTTGTGTTTGACTTTAAAAGTGTACTCTTTGCTTAAAAGCACTGCAATAAATACAACCTGAAAGAACACACCAATATTGCAAGTTGCAACAGCTAATTATCAAGTGCTTTGGTTTTTTCTGGTGCCTGGAGCATATTTTTTGTAAGTATTTGCCATATTTTCGCTTTTGTCCGCCATGTTTATTTTTCGTTCTCTTTCGTCTCTTGCATTCTACCTTCGTCGTTTCCACAGCGTCCACGTGGTACTTGTGCTGTGCTTTTTCTAACGAAAATGGCTGCTGATTTAACCGATGAGGCAGTGTTGAACAAACTGTGGCGCATTCGTAGGACTGTATTCGAAATGGGCCACGATCGCGGCTTTTTGGTAACTAAGGATGAGCTGGACCAGACGCTGCAGGAGTTCAAAGATCTTTTCGGCGATGCTCCGAGCGCGCAGAGGCCGATGCGATCCGACCTCAATATGCTGCTGACCCACGATGACGACGATACGAATAGGATGTTGGTGTTCTTCTTCGATGAGCCGAAGATCGGTGTTGCCACGGTGAATTCCTTTACCAACCGTATGCGGGATGAGAACATTCGTCACGCCATCATTGTGTCCCAGGCTGGCTTGACAACCGCGGCCAAGAGAGCGCTCCTAGCCTTGAAGAACAGTGACAATTTCGATGTGGAACAGTTTCTGGAGATTGAGCTGATGGTAAACATCACTCAACACGAGCTGGTGCCGGAGCATGTGCTGCAGACGGAGGCGGAGAAACAGGCTCTGTTCGCTAAATACAATCTGAAGCCGGAATTGATGATGATCCTACTGACCACCGATCCAGTGGCTCGTTACTACGGCTTTAAGCCTGGTCAAGTGGTGAAGATTATCCGTTTGTCGGAGACAGCCGGTAGATCCGCCTCCTACCGCGTGGTCCGCAAGCCCCAGTGACCGCCCCCAACCCCATTGTGATGTTATTGTAATGTATTTCACGGACAACATGTTTTCAGAAATAAACTATAGCTACATCTGTGATCTGGAACGCAGAAGTAGGAGAAATCTGTCTGTGTAACAAGCTAACAAACCCTTTCCAATAGCAATGTTGGAGCGGCAGCTGCCAGAACGTAGGGTCTCCCAGGGGCGTTCGTTCCCTGCTGCATTCCCACAGCTCCAGCAACCTGAAGCTCTCGCAGATGTGTATGTACTTGCCGCTTACTCAAGCAACCGATTGCCAATAGCTATACTGATCCTTCAATCTACACACAATTAGTCAATTATAAATATATTAGGAAAAACAAACGAAAACTAGGGCTGCATGCAAGAAGTGTTGTTTTGCAACACCGGCCACACATTTAGGCGTCTCCGGTGTGAATATCAAATGAATGTGGCATGTTTCTTCGGTATTTGACTCTGGTTCGGTGTACTGATACAATTGAAACGTTTCTGGTACGCATCACGGATCTTCGACTACGATTTTCAATTGATTTTGACATGCTCAGATACATTTTACTTTGGAGAGTCTCGAACAGCTGCTTGAACCCGGTTTCGTGTGAGCAAAGTGATCCACTTTGTTCTCTGATAAGCCTGAAATCAAAGTATGTTGTGTGTGAAGCTCGTAGTTGCTCATTCGTTTAGTTCAGTTAATACACGCGAGCTCAGAGCTGTTGATTTTTGTTAGAAATTCATTCGCACAAGGTTTGTCCTGTAAATCATCTCTAGTTATTATTTTATAAATACTTTGGACCATTTCGTGTAGAAAAGATGAACGAAAGACGCGAACGTTTCTACTTAATGGAGGAGTGCAACATCGAAAACGCACTCAATGGGTTTTGGGAAGTTCAACCGTTGTTAGCCCAGGAAGTGGCCATACCGGACCACGTGCAACCCTTACCAGTGCCCCTGGAGCCCCTGAAATTGGAGGACCGTCAGGACGAAGCAGTGCGCCAAGAAGCACCAGAGCGGGAAGAGCAAAAGTAGAATGAAAATTAAAAAAGAAATAATGACAAAAAGAACATAGCAGACACAAGAAAATATTGTTGGTGTATTGTAATACACTGTAATACCACGACAAATACAAGAATCCTTATAGACCTGATCATTCTTTATGGTTCTGCGTTTTCGGGTTTCTCGTATCTTTAAAACTGTGCATACCGCAGATTTTCGTCCCTTTTTGTGAGGCGGAGCGAAGAAGTTCTGAAAGACACTTGTAACATTACAGAATTCTGGATGCAATAAGTGTGAGCAAAATGAGTACGTAATGGCGGCATTTCTGTGCGTTGCTAGAGGCAGGCAAACCAAAGGAACAGCCTCGTGATCGAGCAAAATAAAAGGCAGGTCAACAGTCAATTGACCTTTCGACCTGAGTATTACCAAAGAATATACAATATTGTATAGTATTTGGTAATACTCAGTCTTTGGTATTACTGAATCATAAAAAAACTTGCAGCTTTTATGCCGGATTTTTTTCTCTCTCCCGAATCCCTAGAGAGGGTTGTAATCTTACCTGGATCCGGCTGTATATATAGTGGGAGACAGTGGCTCTGTGGTCAGTTGAAGTTGAAGAGCGGCCAGCAGTGCAGTACAGTGGATACCGGCGAACGCACCAGCATGGAAATTGACTACGAGGAACTTTTTCTGGACCTTGGACTATACACTGAAACTGAACTACGGAAATCCATCAGCTACGCGGAGCGACCCCATCGCCGACACGAGCTGAAGGTCGGAAAGATCACCAGATTCGGCTACCTGTGGTATTTCCAGGAGCCATTTATCCTCATACTGAAGGAACACGACTTCCATCCCATTCGAGTCTCGAGAGCCGACGAACTGAGGGAATGGAAGGCCCTGAACATCGCTGCCATGAGGATCAACGGGAGCCACTACCACACATTGTACGTACGTGTGGTGCCGCTGGCTCTCCAGCAGATTGGGCGCGACGAGATTAAGTACCACCTGAAGAGGGTGTTGAGGAAGATCGAAGGGGCCGGAATGCGCAAATACCTAATGGCCGTTGTCACTGATGGGCATCGGGATGCATTGGCCGCAGCAGCTCAAAAGTATCCCGTTTTGTGGGTGATCCGGCATTTGACGACGAGAATGGCGGACCACTACTACCATTGGGACACGGAAGCTCTGCAGGATCTGTATAACCGCCGATATGTGCAAGATGATTGGGAAGGACGGTTCCCAAGCATGGGTCTGCTGAATCCTCCGGCCAATGTGCGGGAGAATCTACAGACGGGAGCTGGAGAATATCAGGGCAGTTGTGAGGCGCAAATTCCGACTGAATGGCAGACCCTTTCGATTGAGGAGATTCAACAGCCGCCAATCGGAGTCCATTGAGAGCATGCTCAAGATGGAAGTCGCTCTGTTACTGAGGAATATCCATTCGATGCATCCGCACTTGTTTTCGCTGGAGAATGGAGAGCAGGCCATCCGATTTTTCACTGAGGTGGTGGCCATTTTTATTAATTTGCTCGAATCATAGAGTTTTATTATTATTATTGTTTACATAATGCATTAAATAAATATACGCATCCAAGAAGATGCTTAGCATTACGTGGGGCCTGTCACCCGCTCTAATGCACTGGATCTACATCTCGGTGGTGCGACCGACTCTGCTGTACGGAGTCTTAGTGTGGTGGCAAGCGACAGAAAAGAAGACGTACAATAAGCTTATGGAAAGGACCCAGCGGCAGGCACTGCTCTGCATTACGGGGCGCTGAGGTCAACCCCAACAAAAGCTCTCGAAACCATAATCGGAATAGACCCCCTGGACATCCACGCTCAACTGACTGCAGGAAAGGCGGCACAACGCTTAGTAGCATCAGGCAATATGTCTTTACAAAGATTCGGGCACAGTTCAATTGGCCGAGACATGACCAGTATATCTGACCTGGATGTAAAAACAACCTCATACATGGGGCCCGACGA